TGCCACCAAAAATGCAGTGAGCTAGTTCAATTTAGTTGCAAAATTTAAAGATCTTAATTTTGGACCCAGGTCTACATTATGTGGAATTGTGGACTGGGATCAATCTCCTTTGCACGGTTATCATTGAATAGTCTGACTGTTTGTGATGTAATCATGATTCAGGTAGATACACACATACAACAGCTTGATCAATATTTGAAAAGATTTGATGAAGAGCTCCGGCGTGGTGTGTTAATAATTTTCATTTTTCATCTTCAAATACACTTTTTATCAGTTCTGAAATATCTCTACCTTGGTTAGATTTTGACCTTGGAATATATGTGTATGGTTTTTGACAGAAAGAGAGAATGCTGCTGCTGTTTTGCCTGCTACAAGTCTTGATGGCAGTGCAAAATCTGGAAGAAGTAGTGAAGGTGGAAGAGGAGGGCGTAAAAAGTATCCACTCATCCTAGATATCCTTATATTTGGTTTCCTTATAGATTGGTTAAACTTGTTTTTGTTAGCTGTTATTGTGTTGTTGATTCTTGCTTTCGCCTTCCTGAGGAAGTCATTTTCTCTATTACTTGTGCAAGTTGTCTGAGATCACCCCAGAATTGAACTGACCTGAATGTACCAACTGATTTTGTCTAGTTCTATATGGAACCATGGTTTATCACAGTTCCAAAATTTTGTGATCCAGTTGGTCTGGGTCAAAATTGGTTCTGAGCTATGAGTAATCTAAACCACACCATGTGACCCAAACAATATTCTCTTTTCTCCCCGCAGCAGAAAACTTGGCTTGAAAAATAAAGTCCTTGGTATACCTGTGACAAATTTTGAACAATGAAATTTGCTTGAACCCTCCTATGGTGCAGAATACGGCTGGCAACAGCAACGGCAGCTGCGGCAGCGGCAACAGAAGTAGCAGCAGCAGCAGCTGTTGCTAATCCAACTGGCATGGAGCTAGATTTACCAGTGGATCCAAATGAGCCCACATACTGTTTCTGCAACCAAGTCAGCTTTGGTGAGATGGTGGCATGCGATAACCCTGATGTATGTAACTGAGTTTATTTTTTCTCTCTCTGGGAAAATATCTTTTGCCTTGTTTTCTAAATTTATCTGATAGACAAGTCTTTGCTTCTTTCAACAGTGCAAGATAGAATGGTTTCATTTTGGATGTGTTGGTCTTAAAGAACAACCAAAAGGAAAATGGTATTGTTCAGACTGTGCTGCTGCCAAAAATCGCCGCAAAAGCAGATGATGCTGAATTTTTATTTATACAACCTTGATGTCTAAGTTTATGTTTTGCAATGACTTGTAGTATGTTGTCAACTTTTATCATATGGTTGTGTTATTTCATGTTTCAGGAACTTCTATGGGTATATTTAAGATGTGTTAGTATTTCAATTGTATACTTGTATGGCTTATCTAAAAGAATTTTGCAGGAAGATTAGGAGACTCCTTCAGTAAATAAAATTATATTCCTCCCTACCAGAGATTTTTACATTTATGCGGACACTATGGATTCAATTTACCTTATGGATTTATTAAGCGTGTTCAACAACAACAAGAAGAAATCCACCAAAAAGTAAAAAAATCCCAATTCTGAATTGTCACATCTAAGATGGAAAATGAGAGCGGCACACACCATAAGAATCGATCCCATAATGGATCAATCTTGCACATAACATTCCTAAGACAAAATAGCTGGAAATGAAAACAACCTTCGTAGATAGAAACAGCTTCCTTATTCACCAACAATAGAAGAAAGCCCATCACTCAACATTCGAAATCTCTCCTTGCCACAAGCACGTCCAATTCCTACAAAATATACGTGGTCCTTCCGTTAGTATATTTATTTTTATAGCAATAATTACAAAGAATCCCTTATAATTTGAATTGTATAAAATTATAAAATGAAAACTATTAGATAATGAATATCTTTAATATTAAAAGGTTTACCCTTCATCTAATAGTTTGAATTATACATTTTAAACAATACAATACTTTTTAAATTAGAAAAATGAAAGCATTATTGCTCTATATGTATGAAACATTACCTTGGGAAAGTAAGCTGCATCCCACAGAGAAGCAGTCAATTGCAAAGCAAAGTCCATATTGGGTTAATATGAGGAAGCTTAATTAGATATCAGCAATGTTTGAAGAAAAATATCAATTTGAAGAGCACATACATAGGATGATTTCTCATTGGGAAAGCTGAAAAAGAGCATTTATATGGGATAAATGGATTACCTTTTGTGTTGATTAGGATGCTGGGCGCTATAGGAACAAGTAGTCGTTGTAAAAACTAAAGTGTGGTATGCTTCGATGTGGGTCTAAGGCTTCAATTATGTCTGCTCTCTGAATACTGCCAGCCAAAAATATAAACAACCACTGGGTGTCCTGAAGTTGAGCTTTTCTAGCCTGCTCCATATCGATTGAATTCCCCACCACTTTCAAAGCCAGTAAATGGAGGTGTTTCAAGTTTTCAAGATCGGCAAGGCAAAATTCTTTAGCATCATTACGATCAGCTCGGGCAATGATCCCATTTGCATGTCTAAGAGAAGTTAATTTCTGAACGCCTTTTGGGTATTGGGTGAGAGCAATGCAACCCCAAGTACAAAGAAACCTCAAGTTGATTAATTTTCCTATTGAATCTGGCAATTGCTTGAGATTTCCGCAGCGCCACAAATCCAAAAACTGCAAATTAAGTAGGTTGCAGAGTGCTTCAGGCAGCCTTTCTAATTTTTGACTACAACCCAAGTGCAAGAATCTCAAGTGTATCAATTTCCCTATTCCTTCAGGGATTTCTTTGCATAAATGATCAGTTCCATCAGGCCAACCAAAACTCAATACCCTTAAGCGTCTGCAATGATTAAACAAACCACGCAAGGCCTCATAAGTCAGTGCACCCTCTCCAGTGAAAGTTATAAGGGTTCGCAATTTTTCTGCACCAGAAATAGATGTAGGAAAAGGAATCCCTTCATCAATCATCACTGTCAAGTGACAATTCTTTGACCCATCTATAGTCAAATGGTCTGAGTTGATCTCTTTAATCGCAAACTCATTCTCCACCAAATACTGAGCAAAATCATGTACCATGTCATGCATCTTACAATAAGTAATCTTTCCATTATACATTTCAAGATCTTGAAAGAAAGAGCGGTCTACTAAGATGCGAAAGTACTCTTCCCCTTTTGACTCCAAATCTGCATTACCATCCGATCCTAAATAACCCATCGCCATCCATTGTGGAATTATCACATCATGCCAAAGTCGGTGATCTTTGGGAAAAAGAACACAATACACGAAGCACCGCTTTACTGGGGGGGGCAAATCATAATAACTCAGCAACAAAGGAGCAAAAATTTGCTTTTGTGCCAATTCTAATTTCCATATTTCACTATTCAAGACACTTTGCCACTCTCTTTTGCTTCTTTTAGACTTTAAAAGGCTTCCAAGAGTTTTGGCAGCAAGCGGTAAGCCCTTACACTTCTCTGCAATTTGTCTCCCAATTTTCTCCAAATTCTGATCATCGCTTCCTTCTAATGCTATATGTTTAATTATTGACCAACATTGCTCATTGCTCAATTTCTCCAGAGAAATGATTTGTGAGGAAGAGGACCCCATCATTTTTGCAACATCAACATCACGTGTGGTAACCAATATTCTGCTTCCTGGGGCACCATATTTGAACGTGGTTTTCAGTCCTTCCCATCTCTCACCTTTTTTTCCATCCCAAACATCATCTAAAACAAGAAAATATTTCATTCCTTGGACAGAGCTAGAAATCCTTTCCAAAAGGACCTGCAATGGATTCGATTCTAGGCCATATGCAGCACTATCACTAAGTTTTTCAAGCCTTTGAATGATTGTCTTTGCAACTTTTTTCTCATCAAAAAGGTCAGAGACACAAACCCAGATTACCCTATCAAAATGCTCTTTAACATCATCGTCATTATATATCAGTTGTGCAAGAGCAGTCTTTCCTAACCCCCCCATTCCTATTATAGATATGGTAGGGATTAGTTCAACAGTCTCCTCTTCACCACTCCCTCCCCACAAATAGTTCAGTATTTCTGCCTTCTTCTTATCCCGACCACATAGTTTTGACACATCCACAAAAGACGAGGTTTCTGGTCGTTGTTGAAGATGATTGCTTGTGTTACTTATCGGCATCGACATCAGCTGCAACTGATACTTCTCTTTCTCCTTTACAATATCATCTAATCTTTGATTGATTTCCTTTATGTTGAGGGCAATTTTACGATGGGTATATGCACGACGAATAGAAAAGCACGAAATGAAATTGCATAGTGCCTGTTTAAAATTGATAGTAATTAACTCACTATTTTAGCAATACTTGATGTTTTGTAAGACGTCATAATTACAATGAACTGAATTAAATGAATGTATCTAGAGCAAGAGATTAATTAGTGTATGTAAGATTACCTTCTTCAGAGAAGCAGCATTTTGTGCTTCAAGTGCTTCGATCTCTACTGTAGTACTCCACTCATCCAACTCATCCCCCATGTCGTAAGAAGCTTCTTTGAGCCTGTCTAGCCATTCCTTGACAAGACCATCCGTTCTTTTCTTCTCCTCAGCATCTCGGAGAAAAGTATCGATGAGACGGAGATTTCTTTCAAGCTTTCTCACTTCTTTCTCAACATCAACTAGCAGCTCCACCTCTTCAGAGGCCTTGTCAACAATGGTTGTCTTCAGCTGCTCTAGGACAAAGGAAACTACAGCATCCGCCATTTTGGTGGGGAGAGGGATTCACAGACAAGGTTGATGGGAAAATTGGGTTGTTGATTAGCAGAATTGTGAAGGATGGGAAATGATACGATCGAGTTGCACGACCTCCTTTTAAAGCAGTAGGTGCAATTCAGCCCCTTTACTTATTGTGGCATATCAGCCCTTCTATTTAAAAGTAGTGCAAATTCACCTCTCTACTAAACAGAAACCCGCAGATGAACCCTTATATTAAAGATGATGTCATCTTTTCTTTTGATTTTCTATTATTCCGTTGACATGAGCTACCTGATGCTTATTGGGCATAACTTGACAGTAAATTACACAACCTGGCATTTTTTTTCATCTCCCTCAACTCACATGACCAAAAATTAGGTATTGACCAAATCTTTACTAATTCTAGAAGTTAAGAACCTCTAGCAATATTACCAAATGAGCTTCTATAAAATAGTGAAAAATACCCAAGTAAATTCATTGTTTAATGCCCGATATAATAAGTTTGGGTCCATTATTTTTTCCTAAATTATGCTCCTTTATCAACTATATATTTATCTATCATATATAAAAAAATTGCTAAAATCGGTCAAAATTCATGTTTTATTCCAAATAAATACCAAAATAAATACAAAATGATTAATTAAGAATCAATATATAGAAATCAAGGTATAACAACAAATGCAAATTCAAAAAATAACTTTAGAAGGGAGTATTTTAGGTGAAATTTCTATTAACTTTGGTTACCCATTCCGAAGCATGGGTCAACAAAGTTGTGAAGGGAATAGCATTGTATGTGGAGGAATCATTATAGTTCCACAAACAAAAATTGTTTTATGAGAAAAATTATATACTTTATTAAGATTAATTAAAAATACTTACTTTCCATTAAAAAAATACTTAAGTATAGATTTAGAAATAGTTCAAATTCCAACTCAAATGTGTTCAAATTTTGAAAATGTTGTACTGTTGTTGTATTGAACTATGGCTATAAGTTTTTTTTTT